ATTGATTGGGAATGGGCACCCCATCATATTCTTTGCATGTTGACCAGTTGTGGGTATCTTTAATAGACTCCTTTTCAAAAAAAAAAGATGCTTGTTTGGTGAGGAGTAAGACCTACACTTACCTATGAGTATGATGGTATTTAGATTACAGTTAGAGATTACACTGAGATTACATTAGGAAAATGGCAGCAATAGGTTCTCCCCTCAGGTCCACTAGCTCTCCAGCCACAGGTATCTGGCTGGGTTTACCATGTAGTAATTCCTTCCAAGTAGGTGGGAATTGTGTCCAATTAGACAATGGTTGGTTATCCCCAAAATAAAAGTGCCACTATTGCACAACTGTGGATACCTTCCTGGTCCAGTCATTATTGTGGTCCATGGGCTTTACAGCTAGGTCAGAAGATTGACTGCTCTTCTCCTTCGGCAGCTTGCACAGCGCCTTGGGATGTGCTGAGCACCAATGCTCAAAGAACAATCTTCCAAATCAGTTCCAACTCAGCTCCTCCAAGTTGTGCGTCCGAAGTATGTGGTGTCTTCAGCAACAGGGTCTTTACTCCCAAGTTCGGGAAAGTTACCAATGTAAATGGCAACAGGCATTCCCCCAACCAACACAATGGGATGTTTCCCATGACTGGCAGAGAGGTTTTTGTTAGGTAGTGCATGTTCTTAGGGGGATACACCACTATCATCCCACGTGGGGCAACTCTCTATATATGCATATCACATCCATGTATGTGTGTATATAGGTACACATGCACACACTCACATACAGTAAATAAGGTTGTAAAATAATGCTTCCCCACTGCCTTTTAAAATATCCTTAATGCTGTTTGCTTCCTCTTCCCCCTTATTCCCACCTGTATTGCCTTTCTTTCCCTGCCCAGCAGCTCCTCCCATTTAGCATCATCCCCTTTGCAGCACCTGTTTCCGATCATCTCCTTTACTAGAGTGCTTCTCTCTCCCCTCCCCACCGTCCCCCTTTACTTTCCTGGCTTCTTCCCATACTTCAGACATGTACTCACATCTAAACATTTGGAGCTAAGAGCTGCAGAACGTTCAGTGTTTGTCTTTCTGAGTCTGGGTTACCTCACTCAATCCAATATTTTCCAGATCTGCCAATTTACCTGCAAATTTCATAATCTTATTTTTCTTTACAATGGAATAGTATTCCACTGTATATTTGTATCATGATTTCATTATTCATACATCATTCAAAGGACATTCAGGTTGTTTCCGTTTCCTAGCTATCATGAGCAGAATGACAATGGACATGGCTGAGCAAGTATATATAGAGTAGGATGTCTAGTCCTTTGGACATATGCCAAGGGGGGGCATATCTGTGTAATATGGGAAGAAGTACTTTTAGCTTTTAAGAGTTATCTGTACTGACTGCCATAGTGATTTCACCAGTTTACAAACTCACCAACAGTGAATGACGGTTCCCATCTGCCTACATTCTCACCAGGATATATGGACAGTTGTTTCTTTTTTTTTTTTTCAATCTTAGCTGTTCTAACTGATGAAATCTCAAAGTTGTGTGATATATTATTTATGATTTATTAAAGCTTGCCTGAGGATTCAGAAAGCAAAGTCAGACACAAGCTATAGAAGCCAGGCACACATCTGGTGGTACATGCCTTTAATTTTAGGACTCAGGATTAAGAGGCTGATGGATCTCTTTGAGTTCAAGGCCACCCAGGGATACATGAGATTGAATCGGTCTAAAAGAGTAGCAAATCACATGCCTTCAATCCTATCACTAGGGGGAATAGAAGATAGAAGCAGCTTCTTCAGTATTCAGTATAAGGCATTCACTCTTCAGCCACACTGAGGGGAGGTTACAGTCTGAGAGCTCAGGGATCAGCCCATTTAGCCTAAGGTGAAGGTAAGAGCTAGTGGCCAGCCTGGTTTGCTTTTCTGATTTCAGCTTGAAGCTTGAACCCCAGTATCTGTCTCTGGGTCACTTTTTTGTGTTACAAGTTGTTTTAATTTGCATCTCACTAATTACTAAGGATGGTGGATGTTTTTAAAGATTGTTCTTAGCTAATTTTATTCCTTTTTTGGAGAATTCTCTTTTCAGACTCATAGCCCATTTTTGTTTGAATGTGTCATCACTTAACTTTTTATTTTTATTCTTGAGTTCCTCATGTATTCTGGATACTAATCCTCTGCCAAATGTGTAGCTGGCAAAGATTCTTTCCCACCCTGTGGACTTCCTCTTCCCTTGATGATTGCCTTTGTTGTACAGAGTTTTCTGTTTGATGAGGTCCCATTCATCAGTTGTTGGCTGTAACTCATGAACAAATGGAGTCCTATTCAGAAAGTCTTTTCCTGAATCTGTATTTTGTAGGATACTGTATATGCTTTCTTCTAGAAGTTTCAGGGTTTCCGGTTTCACATTGAGGTACTTTTATCACTTTTGTTATGTTGGTTTATATGCAGGGTGAAATCTAGGGATTTAATTTTATTCTTCTGCTTGTGAACATCCAAATTTTCCCAGCACCATTTGTTGAAAATGTCATCTTTCCTCCAGCATATATTTTTGACATCTTTGTCAGATAGAGGAAGACTGTAAATGTGTGCACTAATATTTGGGCCCTTTATTTTATTCTATTGATCTGCATGCCCACTTTTGTGCCAGTACCATGCTGATTTTATTACTATAGCTCTATAATATATCTTGAAACTGGGTGTGATAATCCCTCTAGTACTGTTCTTTTTGCTTGGGATGCTTAAACTATCTGTAGCCTTTTGTGGTTCCATTTGGATATTTTTTTCTATTTCTGTGGCAAATATCATGGGGATTTTGAACAGAATTGTATCAAACCTTGAGTTGTTTTTGAGAGAACATTCATCTCCACAATGTTAATTGTACCAAGCCATAAGCATGGGAAAGCATTATATCTTCTAGTGTCACCCTCAGTCTTTCTTTAGAGGATTAAAGTTCTGCTGTAAAAATCTTTTACCTCCCTGGTTAGGTTTTATTCTGATATTTTCTTTATGAGGGTGTTGTAAACACCACTATGTCCATGATCTATTTCTCAACATTCTTGTGGTTATACAGGGAGGCTATTGGCATTTGTAAGGATTTTGTATCCTTCCACTTTGTGGTGGGACCATTAGGAGGTGGAGTCTCAGAGTTTGGCATGGTCCCACATGGATGAATTTCCAAGACGAGAAAAGTAGAAGCACAAAAAATCCTTATTAAATCACAGAGCCAAAAAGCAATTAGCCAGAATCAGTAGTGCTGTGATAAAACACCACGACCAAAAGAGAACTGGGGAGGAAAGAGTTTATTTGGCTAACACTCCTACATTGCTGCTCTTTGGAGGAAGTCAGGACAGGAACTCTAGTCGGGCAGGAGCCTGGAGGCAGGAGCTGATGCAGAGGCCTTAGAGGAGAGCTGCTTACTGGCTTGCTCCTCATGCCTTGTTCCGTCTGATTTCTTAGAGAACCCAGGATAATCATCCCAGGGATGGCACCATACACAATGGGCAGAACCCTCCCACATCAGTCACTAATTAAGAAAATGCCTTATAGCCTTGCACACAACCTACTCTTACACAGGCATTTTGTCAACTGAGGCTCCCTCCTCTCTGATAACTTTAGTTTACATCAAGTTGACATCAAATCGTCAGCACTCAGCTCTTGGTTGTGTAGGACAGAGCCTGGAGGCCTTGATGGATGGCAGGGTGTGTAGCTTCTGGGTTGGTAGAGACCAAGACAGACAGACAGTGTGAGAGCCAAAGTTACATCTTAAGTTTTAATTACTCTGCCTTAGAGATCCATGAAACAAAAATGTCTGTGATCTGCAACCCCCTTGTCCAAGGACAGATAGTTACTAAAATACTGGAGGTTGTTTGTTTATGGGAGATAATAAGCCACATGTTTTCACTCCCCTAAACAAGTTTGTTTGACCCCTTCACACCAGATGTGCTTGATCACATGAGGGTTGGAAGTCACAGGCAGGAAATATGACAGGATGCTCACTTGTACCTGATAGAATGTAGGCAGGAGGTATGTCAGATATATGCTTGCTCCTGATTGGACCTGATGGGAAATACTTACCCCAATGTAAGCCCTTATTTTGGGACATTTGTTTTTTTCTGGGAAACCAGAGATAAACCTGACCAGAGCCCATTTCCCTGGTCAGTATTGAGTCAAATCTGGCTTTAAGCTGTGGTAGTAGTCTTATTCTCTACCGGCAGAGTTAACAAGCCAAGTGTAGCTGTGTAAGTTAGCTGTCCATCATTGGTTCGCACACACGGTAGTGAAGAGGGTATGGCTTAGATGTCCCATTGCTGTCACTCTAAGTTACCCTCGGCACCTCTGTGCCATGGACACATGGTGCTGTGCTCTTGAAGACGTCCCACCCATTTCTGAGCAGCCTGGTGTTGGATTTCTAGCTAGGTTCAGAGGTACTAAAGACCTCATCAGTGCACAGTGTTTCTCATTGTGAAAGCGGCTTTCCTTCAGGCAGTCATTAACCATCCCAGCCAGAGGATACCTCTCACACCAGCTGGCTACCAGTCTCAGAGCGCTCTTGGGCCATCTATCACCAGCACAACATCTGCTCGTCATTTTGCCTTCCCGGTCCTATGAAGCAGAAGTAGGGCAGGATCGTGGGCCTGACACACCCTTTATCCTTCAGCTCTGGGCAGCTTGTGTGGCTCAGAGCTAATATAAACCTGACCTTATCCTTCCCTCTGCAGCGGGGAAACAAGATAACAATGGCAGGGTGGGATGGGGTGGGGTGGAGGCTCTCCCCAGCACTCAGCCTTCCAGCAGGGTTTCTCACAAAGGCTAAGTGCCTCAGCTCACATCAACAAGAAGGTATGCAGGAAGCAAGGCAGACCCTACACTCTGTGCTTGGCAGAGATCAACTTTTCCTTTCCTTCCTGATCTATGAGGGAAGAATGCTTTCTGCACTTGAGTCTGTCAGGGGCAGAGTCACTGTTCCAGTGTCTTTCCATTGCTGTGATAAAACTCTGTGACCAGAAGCAACTGAGGGAAGTAAAGGGCTTACATGGCTTGTCCTTCCGGATCAGTCTCGTCACTGAGGGAAGGGAGGAAGGGACTCAAGCAAGAACTGGAGGCAGAAACCACGGAGGATCCCTGTTTGCTGGTTGCAGCGGGAGGGGATGGGAATTCTGGAAGTGATGGGAGCATGGGTAGACTGGGTGGTATAAGGAGCTCAGCTGCCCGAGTTTGCTAAGGACGGCTGGTTTGCTCACATGGTTGGGAAGCAGACAAGCCTTAGATGCTGCAATGTATATATTCTGCTGTTGGTGTCTCTCTATGTTGGCCTTGGCACCAAGTTATCTAGATCTTTAAAATGTCTACCAACAAGTGAATTCAGAGTTTTGGCTATGTGCAGTTCTATTCAATGGCAAGGCAATTTATTACTGATGTGGTTCCATTCAGACAGGTTTCTAGTACAGGCCAAGTAGAAGGATGAAGAGTTCTGATGACATGCGGACTTAGAGAGACAGATGACATGCCAACCTAGAGGAACAGACGACAGCCCTCCATTGTTTTCAAATAATTCAACAAGCAGAAATGCTAATCCTGTCTACCCTGCCCCCAGTAGTAGTATTGACCTGTCATCCAGAAGCATCAGGAACATGAAGTTTTCAGTTCTGAACCTGTTACTATGTGACCCAAGGTAAGTCAAAGACTTGGGGGATTGTTTTTAAACTTTGTATTTATTTAATCATTTATTTTGCTTTGTCTGACAATCTTTCAGGGGGATGAGTTGTCTTTTTGATCTTATAGGGTGTGCATGAAACTTGATGACAATATAAATTGGATAGAATGTTAAAAATAACTTATAAATATTGTGATTAATGTCATAGCCCACATTCCCTAGACCACCGAAAAGAAAGTGAATGTTGGTATTCATAAATAATCGGAATGATTTATTCATTTTTATGATTAACTTGGTATTCTGACAGTTAGGAGCCTGCATGGGAGACAGAATGGGAAAACATAACCAAATAATTTATCATCCAAACCAGGGTGAGAGAGTGAGAGGCTATTAATCACTGTGTAGGACAGAAAGTGTGGGGCACACGGGAGCTAAGGGAGTGTCCCAGATGGGCCCTGGTTTACCTTATCTCTGTTTGACCATCCCAGCTCAGTGACAGCTCTCCCAGCATGCAGATTCATGGCCTGACAAACTGCCTTGGGATCTGAGGAGACTGTGTGTGGTAGAGGCCTCTAGAGCAAGGAAATGGTGGGAGCAATGGGCATGAGAGGAAATTCTAGAACGGGTAGGGTCTTCCCATGTGTAAGCCATACAGGCCCTCAAAGAGGATGGGTTAAAACTGCAAATCAGAGATAATGGCCTGGGCTGGGCTGGCTCCTCCTGAGACCACAGTTTTCTGTGTCTCCCACAGTTACTCCTCTGTTGAAGTCTGGGTCCTATCTTTTCCTGTAAGAAACCCAATTCAGTTTAACTTGACTCGCTGTTAAGTGATCTTGTCTCTGAGGACTTTCACCCTCTGAGCTGCCAGAGAAGCTTATTTCACACGCTTGGGATTGGAGATAGATATTCATCACTCCCACTCCCTCCTCGGCCCTGCCTGCCTGGCCCCTGTCCTTCTTGTGGTTTCAGGATTCTGAGCAGCTTCCACCGAAGGAGGCAGAGAAGGGGAGCTTGAGACAGCAGAGCCCACGCCATCAGGGTCTGTATCTTGAGATGGTGGTCTTTTCTTTTAAGCCCATTCCATGTGCGGCCTGCCTTGCAGCCTCCAGGCTGAACTGTCACAGGGGGCTTGGTTTACAGCCATGTTGATATCCCTGCTCTGTGGTCAGGGCAAGTTCTCTGCTAATGGTGACTCTGCCTGTGATAGAGGCACTGTGTATCCAACTTCCGGAGATAAAGAACAGGCTCCTGCGTAGCAGGCACCCCAGAATCTCTCCAAGGAGGAAGTAGCAGGGTAAGAGCTTGTCCTATCACAGGCTGTCTTTGTGGACCAATCACTCTGTCTGTGAGACTGTCAGACAGTGAGGGAAAGGGATCTCAGGGCCAGCCTAACAGCCGACTAAAACACCTCAGGAAAAAGGCAGATGATAAAGGCAGGCAGCAGACACCTGGAACTGAAGCTACACCTTCCCCCTGGGCTCAGTGGCTCCTTCAATTCTGCACGTGGGTGTTATTCAGTAGAACCCAGACGCTCTGCCCAGGGCCATGCTTCTGGGGACCTGTCCTTTTCTAAGCAGCTACTGCCATGCTTTCAGATAAACAGGGCAAATTACCTAATGGAGACATTGCTCCAATCCAGGTACAATTTGCAAAAGTGGCTGACACTATAACCAACCACAGCAAAGTGGTTGATCTGGGCACAAAATCCATCACCGGAGAACGCATTTAGACTTGGTTCTCAGTGCTTGGCTAGGCACAACTGTCAGCCTTAACTCAGGGGCAGTGACTGCATTTGTGTCCAGCTGCATGCTGGAAGTGTCTCAGTGGACACACAGCTTCCTTTGTTATCAAGGAAATTCCAGGCTGAACAGTGTGCACTCACACATGTTCCCAGTGCAGGGGCACTCTGTATATTCAGAAAGTGCCTTTGAAAAGAATATGATTTCTGCTTAATGAAATGGCATCATAGTATGCTGTTTTGAGAACCAGCTAGTTTCTCTGTGAGAGGGAAGCTGCCTCAGAACTCAGGCAAAAAACTTGCTACTCAGACTGCAATTTGTGAAGTCATATGTTATGTCAGCCTCCTCTCTCTGCTATGCCCCCTGGGATTGGGTTGGGGGCTACAGGGTGGACTCAGAAGTGGAAGGCATTTTGCAGTGCACACTGAGCCCTCCCCATATGGGCATGGCTTGTTCAAGGTAGTACTGTTGTTTCAGCAGTAAGGCTTTGAAGACTCGTCAACACAACCTGTCTGTACATCTGGTTGAATTTCTTACTCTGTCATCCATGTCCCGTGATCATTGGCTCCCTCTGGCACAGTACAAACAGGTCCTGTTTTCTGCTGGTGCTGTCTCTCAGCAGACAGAATAGGTGTGAAGGTCTTGCTCTGTTGCCAATTGCACATGAGGTTCAATCTTAACCTTATAAGCACAACCCCTGTAACACTGGGCAGGGGCTTCGGTTGTTTTAATCTTCGATTTCCCTGTCAATATCATAATAGTAACTGTCCTTTAAGATACGACAGTTGACACAATGCACGGGAGACATCTGATATGTAGTGACTGCTTTGAAGTCAAGCTATCCTTAAATGCAGAAACTGGAGCTTGGCTCATTTTCCTTGTGTCTAACAGAGGAGTGGTCCATAGTCAGTGTCTGAGAATACTGGCTGAGATGCTGAATAGGCAGTCACTGGAGATCAAAGCAGACAGATGTGTATATGTTCTACTACCTTCTAAGATAATATTAGCACAGAGTAATGAAAAAGAAAATCAATGAGGGGAAAGGGAACGTTTCATGGAGGTACTCTAATGAGTAAGTCTTGACATTTGTAAATATACTTAGTTTTAAAATCTGCAGGAACACATACATACTGAAAGATGAAGAGAAGAACAGACCCAGTGGTATGATGTGGACTTTGGCACTGGAATTTTGAGCTCAAACTATAGCTCTACAGTGTCATAGTGATGTGACAGTATTAGCTATTAACTAACCATCTTGGTATCACAGTTTCTCTATCTGTGAATATTTCCCAGGAGGATGACGATTAAACGGTTATTACGCATCAAACGATTTGCTGTTCGTTGCTATGGTGAGTCACCGTTGCAGCATTTGCCATTGAACTTGGTCACTATCTCACAGATGCCTGCACAATCTGTCTTTCGCTGTGGGACTTAAGCCTCACATGAAATCAATCTCCAGGTCTGAGATCACTGTGACAGTGAGAGTCACACCGGGGAAGTAACAGGAGGACACCGGAATAACAGGGCAACTGTGTGGTAGACTGGGGGCCCAGAAGAGGTCAGAGACTGGCTTTCTTAACTGGAAGAAGCACACAGGAGAAGGACGGCCTGCACAGGCGACACAAGAGCACAGCTGGGAAACCTGCGGGTCCCGGGAGAACTAAGCATCAAATGGTGGAGGATCTGCTCGGAGGGGTTTTGTGGGGAACATGGTCCAGTTGCTTCTGGGGCCTCCAGTGCAAAGGGATACCACTTGAGAATTTCAAGGTGTAAATAAAGCCTCAACTGGAGTGGAGCCTGCTCCAGATCCAGGGTGAGCATCAGCATGGAGTGGCCTTCCTGGTTTCCTCAAAGATCCCATGTCTCTTCTTCCTGCACAGGCTTGTCTGTGGGGCCTGCTGAGCAGGCAGCCTGGAGATGACTCCAACCAGTGGATAATGCAGAGCACCAGGCCTGAGTGAGGCGCTAGGGCTGCCCTGCAGTCATTCCATGGATTTAATGAGGATGAAGGGAGGAGAGGATAGACAACAGAGGAGCTGATGCAGAAAGTACGAAGGGGCTGCTGCCTGGGGAAAGGAAGAACTCAGAGCAGAGTATGGCCAGGTGTGGAGCTGCCCACCCTTAGCTCCTCTTACAGATTACCGATCTGCCTGTCCTTCCTGCATGCCAGTCACAGCGCCCTAGACTCTGAGTTGATTTCCACAGAAACCTTCTTTTCATGAGGCACAGTCAGAGGGTTCTACAATCAGCCTAGAAGACAAGTTAGCCATCTCCCCTGGAAGGATTATGTCAACACTTCCCAAACTCTGTGTACAAGGAACCTACCTCCTTTCCTTGGTCCATCCTCTCCCCACACCCAAGCTTTCCCACATAAACCCCACTTGCTCAGCTATTTTTCTATAATCATTGCACACACACACACACACACCTAAATATATAAGTGCAATCTACTTAGTCTGCATAATGTAGTTACATAAGTTTTCAGGGCTGATCATTTGGTTTTGACTAAACAGCTGGTGTACTCTTCACTGGGGAAGACTATTTCTACCATTCTCAGCATTCCTTAGTTGGCTATAGTTCTCTGTGTAGGAATGAGACTTCATGAGTATCCCCCTTTCCATGTTAGCACGTCTGTTGGTGTCATCCTTTTTCAGGTCTTAATTAGGCAGCCATGTTGGTGAGGTTTAATGGGTATAGCTTCTAACTCCCAGGAGACACAATCTCACGGTCGACTTCTTCTGTCTCTTGAAATCTGCCTGCCCCTCTTCTGCAATGATCCCCAAGCCTTAAGTATGGGAGTTACACTATGGGTGGATATATCAGTTTGAGGTAGGCATGGCACAATCCATTATTCTCTGAATTCTGATTGGATGTGGTTTTCTGTAATGGTTTCTGTCTGTTGCAAAGAGAAGTTCCTTTGTTGAGAGGTGAGGTGTTCTCTAATTGTCAAGCCTAACCTCTGATTTCTAGAACGTTGGTAGCTGGGCCATTCCTACAGAATGGAACCAGACACTTGTTGCTGTTTCCTGATGTCCATATGGCATTGGCTTTGCTCACAGTGATCATCAAAGCTTAGTTTTGCCATGGAAAGCAATGCCTCTGGATCTGAGGACATCTACTACCAAAATGAGGCACTCACAATGTGTACCACAAGGTTAGATTTCCGTGTTTCCCTCAAACAATAAAAGCACCCAAGGGTATGCTGTGAGTTACCCCATGGGATCTGAGCACCTCCATATTCCAACAGGGACCTATAGGGTGTGGGGCTCACAAGCTATTCTGGTCAGGATGGAGAAGTGGGCTTGCTAAGTCAGATACCCTGTGGCTACTATTCAGTGGAGTCCCAGCTCAGTGACAGTCACGAATCTCAGTTGTCAAAATTGTCACCTTAGACAAGAGGTTGGAGCTCCCACCACAGATACTATTGATGGCTGACTGGACACTAGAAAGAAGTAGACTGCATGACAGATAGTCTTTCAGAGCTTTTGGAAAAAAACTACAATGTCTCACCCCACCTCCAGCTGAAGCTGTAACTGGAGGAAGACCCCGTCCCTTTCCAAAGTCCCTTCCTTCACAGTCCCCAAGAAATGATGCCTGTTGAAGGTAGGCCTCATCTCCTTTGCACTTTTCATTGGTTTTATCTTCTGAGGACAAAGAGGAAAAAGTGCTTTCTGGACAGGTTTTGACTCTGGGGCACATTCCCCAGGGACAGTGGGAAGAAGCCAGTTGTAGAAGTTTTGGGGTACTGTAGGAAGAAGTCTCACCCATCAGACTCTAGGGTCAATCCTCCTTCCTCTGGAAGAGTACCAGTCCCAGAATATTCTTCAGAATAGATACTATCCTCACTACTGTTATAATTAGCATGACTACCATCTTGAAATAGCCTGCAGTTATCTGAGGGGGATAACTGAGTTATCTCCTTGAGGAATAATAACCTTGATCAGATTGGCCTATTGGCATGGGGCATTGTCTTGACAGATGGTTGACTTAGGAAGACTCAGCCCTCAATGGGCAGCACAATTCCTAGGCTAAAGTCCTGGGCTGCATATGAAAGCTAAGTAAGCTGGAGCCAGAGAGTGACAGCAAGCAGCAACCCTCCCTGTTTTCTTCTTCAGGTTCCTGTCCTGACTTCCCTCAGTTTAAGTCCATGGCTCAGAATTGGGCTGATAGGGGCTCAGAGCTCAAAAACAGCTTGAGAGATAGTTGCATTCTGCACACTCTTCACATCTTGTGGTGACAAGCAAAGACATGAAGCTGGGAGGGTACCCACATCCTGAGCAGAGAAGGAATAATCCCCAGTCGATAGTGCAAGCCATCCTGTAACTGCAGAGCCTTTCTGGCGATTGGCTGCTATTTATCACAGAAGGTGGCAGGTGGGCTGATCTGGACCACAGCCTTTGGAAAGGAAACAGGTATACAAAGCTGTCAAGAGAGGATGGGCATGACACGGACTGCCAAATGGACTGGGTAAGCATGTTTGACAAAGGGGCAGGAGCTCAGGATATAAGTTAGGACGTGAAGACACAAGGTTGGGCAGACATCGTGGGATCTGGACCAGGTGGGCATATGGATTTGGCATTCCTGATTGGAGGAGGTGGGTCTGGGACCAGTACTGGAGCTGTCCCTGTCCCCATATCTGATGTATTCTACCGCCCATGACACAGCTTGATGCCTCTTTTCCAGCTTGTTTTGCAAATTGTTGTACTGACCGCTACCTGTGAGCCCATCTGTGCACTGCAAAGAGAAGCCTCTGCCACCACTCCACTCCACACAGGTGTATGGGTCCCTGCCTGGCCCAGAGCTGACACCAGGAGACTTTCCATGGGGGCAGGGCTGCCACAGGCCAGATGGGCAGGTTCTGGCCGTGACAGCCATTGTGCTCATCCGCTTGCTGTTCTTGCCATGCACACCATACACAAACACTATAGCACCATTAACCACATTCGTATCAGCTGATAAAAGCATTTGCCTTGTAAGCATGGAGATCAGAGTTACATCCCTAGGAGTCTTTAAGAAAAGAAAACAAAAAACAGGCATGGTGGCCAACATTTATTGATTCCAGCACTGGAGAAACAGAGACTGCAGATCTCTAGAGCTTCCCAACCAGGCAGCCTTGCCTGCTAGATCAGTCTCAACAAGCAAGTGGCCAGTACCTAAGAAACAACGCCTTAGGTTATCCTGTAATCGCCACACTCACAGGTACACTCCACACACATACACTCAAAAGAAATAAGTGTGTGGGTCGTGCTTTTGAACTATAAATCTGGATGTATCTCATTGCCACTGTTACTTCTTGCCTGCACAAAAGGGTAAGAAAAACAGCTGTGTGTCTGAAACTTGGCACCGTCAGTCTTGGACTTGGGGAGGCAGGTACCAGCACAGGTATCCAAGTGTAAGACACACTAGGATTGGCTGAGGAGGGCATGGAGATTGCATCCTCCAGGAAAGTCTCCTTATGTCAGCCCCAGGTCAGGCTGTCTGTACACAGGGTTTGCCTGAGACCATGAGAGGCTCCTGGAGACAGGGTGAGGAGCCTTTGTGGGCTGGAGTGTTCGGGGAGTCAGCAAAGGCAGTCAGTTCCTTCCTTCTCTTGGGGGACTTGGAATGAGACCTTCTTGGTAAGATCTGACAGTATGAGCTGTCTGACTTCCCCCTTGAAGTCATAGTAATATTTTCATTTTACAAAACAGCAAACTCTGTGAACACTACTACTAATTTTTTACTCCGATGTTTGGTTTGACTTGGGCTCACAAATGTGAGCTTTTGTTTTGTCTGAAGCACAGACTGAAGTTGAAGCCTTATGTTTGGAATGAGTAGGTGAGAGTAACCCCCACACACACACATCACCACTGAACTGTGGAAAGAGCTGGAGAACCCTGCTTGCTGCTCATCTGTGACAGCAAGGACTGCACACCTGCATGCTCATCTGGATTCACAGCTGCACTCTGCTGCCTGCTCAAATCCTGTTTGAAAACTCAGGTGACTTTCCTGTGTGTAAAGTAGCATTAGTTAATTGTGTGAAAGACCTGAGGGATTTGCATTGAGATAATGCGTGAAAAGCTTCTAGCACAGTCCCGAGCACTAAGTGCTCCTTTAAATTTTAATGATGATAGCAGTTTTTATTTCCAAAGCCAGTAATGCCTGGATCCAAAGCAGAGTTTTTCTAATGATGAAATTCCATGCCCAGTAGGAGAAAATATATTGTTTTAATACCTCTACTCCCCTCAAAAGAAACCCAAAAGCCACACACTCTTAGACAAGCACAACTCTTCTGAGCACATCTGTGACTCCACTAAAGCACCATGTACTTGCACACACACATATATGTAGACATGTACATTCATGTGCACACACATTATTTGGCAACCAAGACTCATGATTCTTTTGGAGGTGTTTCACATGCTGATGTTAACAATGAACATAATTTGATAGTGTTTAAGGTATTTTTTTGCATGCTATCTTATTGACCCATTTAAAAACATACTAGGGACAATTCTGTAGACAGGTAACTCATTTGGTAAAGTAGTCACCTTACAAGAATGAAGAGCTGAGTTTGGTACCCAGAACCCACATAGAAGTCAGGCATGGTAGTAAATGCTTGTAACTCCAGTACTGGAGAGGCTGAGACAGGTGCATCCCCGGGGGTGCTGGGCCACTGAGGTTCAGGTTTAGTGAGAGATCCTGGCTGGGAAACAGAACCTTCATTCAGTGGCTGATGGAAGCAGAGGCAAACTCCCACGGCTAAGCACTGAGCTGAACTCAAGAAATCCAGTGACAGAGAGGGAGGACTAATGACCAAAGGGGTTAAGACTGGGCTGCTTTAACCCCCA